AATCTCTCGCTATCGTCTTGACCACGACGGCGACCTGCGGTCCGACGATGTCGCTGCCATAGAACAGGCTCTAAGGAATTGGCAGTTAGCATGGAAACGCAACCCTGAATCATCCCTTGATCCGATGAACCCTAATGGGCCAGTGACTTTTAACTCCACCGCGCTCCTGCGCCTTGCATATATTCGACTCAATGTTGACTTGGGACCGGGACGGGCACTGGATACTCGCGACCCGGTTCAGATCGCCAATGCCTTTCGAGACAGTCCTTCTGTCAAGCGGACACCGAAGCTCGTCCGGGCCGTCCTACATTCTGCCCATGCCTTAAGCATCCCAGTCAAGATCGGCATCCATCTTGTTGCACAGACGCAGACCTTCATGTGGTCCATCCAGCATTCTTTGTGCACATTGGAGTGCGCTTTCCTGCTCAGTAAATGGCTGGAGGCATTGAGCCTGCCTAACTCGGGTCCTGCGATAACGAATGACGAGCGGAAAATAGCGACCTTGGTTAAGACCATGCTGGACGAGACAGAGTTTGCCATGCCTGTGGATGTGCCTATCGACTCACCCGCTGCAATGAAATACCTCAGCGCGGGCGTGCTAAGGGTATGGGCGCAGGTGTTTCGCGGGGCTCAGACATGGGCAATCGTCGATGTCATTGGAACCAGCCTGAACATTTACGCCGATATGCTCGAAGCAGGATGAAGCGAATATGCTGAGATTGTGCGCTGTGATTTCACTCTCGAAATTTCCAGCTTGTTGCAATTCCACAATTGCCCTCTCACGGCAACGGCGTTCGCCATGGTATATTGTCTTCAAATGCGTGTTGAATACAGAAGGGTCGTGCTCCGGCTGGATATGCTATTCCTCGCAGATTTCGCCCCGAGTCCTTCTCTGGATATGCAAAACTTGGGGCATATCTAGGCTTACTTGGCTACAGAGACTGGCAGATTTCACCGAACGCTTGCTGGCTCACTGATGCAGCTGTCTAGCGATTGGCCATTGTCCTTGGGCACCGGGGGCTATATCACACGCTGCCCGGAAGCATAATGAGGACGCAAATTGGGCAGCGGCTTCGCAAGAGCCTGATATATTATCCTTGCGCAAGCCGAATGTTGCGGATGGCGACTAAAACTGCGAGTGGCGACCGATGACGATAATGAAAACCAGGAGACGTCGTTCAACATGACCAAGGATCGAAGTCTGCCACAGCAGTCTCATATCTTGGATCACCTTTCGACATGATGGTGCTATCAGCGGGACTACTCGTGTGTCAACAATGTCCCATGGTGTCGTCGACGGTATCATCTTTGAGAGTCGACCCTGGGAAGGGCTGGCATACCACGCCACGCCAAAGAACCGAGTATTCGAACTACTTGTAGAACTAAATGAATTCACTAAGAGTAGGACAATTGAAGCCATATGGCGTAAAAACATTGTGTGATTTTAAAGCCGGACGAATACTGGTTTGTTCCTTGTCTTCGGGTATCTCGCCTCATTTTATTTATGTCTCGGCTATATCTCCTTCTCGCTACCGTCCCTGGTCGTTCAACCACTTATAAACAACACGGGCATCCTTGCCCTTGTACCTCTGGTCCGCCATGGCTTCGTCAAAGGCGGCCAAGGTGGGCTTGTCGAGGATGGTCCTCGCGCCCACCATTTCGGCCAGGGACGAACCCATCTCGAGCACGTGCTTGCACAGCTCGATGCGGAAACCGCCCTCGTAGCCCCGGCTGGCGGGGGCGTTGGCGTGGATGCCCGGGACGGGGTTGGACTGCGACGTGACCCAGCACTGGCCGCCGCTGACGTTGATGACGTCGGTGAGCAGTTTCAGGTCCAGGCCCATCTTGGCGCCGATGTTGAGCGCCTCGCTCGCCGCGAGACTGGTGATGGCGGACAGGTAGTTGTTGATGACCTTGAAGGCGGTCCCCGCGCCGACGTCGCCGCAGTGGAATATGCTGTCCTTCTTACCCATGTGTTGGAGGTACTCCTTGGCGTGCTCGAAGGCTTCCTTGGTCGACGCCCCGACCATGAATGTCAACGTGCCGGCCTCGGCGCCCATGGGTCCGCCGCTCACGGGGGCGTCGACAAAGTCTAAGGTCGCTCCCGAGGCGAGTTTCGGTGCGGCCTCCTTGGTGGCGGCCGCGACTTTCAGGATGGTGGCCGTCTCGATCGTGCCGCATTCCATTATCAGCTTCTTCTGGGGGTTCCCCTCCTTGGATGCCTCGATCGCGCCCTGGATGACGCCCGTGGTCGGGTCCAGGTACACTTTCTCTACCGCCGCCGCGGTAGGGAGCATGGTTATCAGGGTATTTGCCCGCTTGATCGCGTCGTAACCACTTGCCACGACCTCGATGGGGCCTTTGGAGGAGTTTTCGGCTTGGAACTTCTTCAGCGCGGCTTCTGAGACGTCGCAAATCAGGAGGGTGGACGTGGAGGGGAGTTTGGCGCGCAGGTTGACGGCCATGGAATAGCCCATGACGCCGATGCCTAGAAGAATCTTGTTAGAAAGACTGCTTCAGACCATCGTTGGATTTGCTGGCTGCCCTTACCGATGAAGGCGACGGTATCTTGAGGAGAAGGCATGCTGTCGACAAATCTAGTCCTCGTGGTTCAGAGTTTCGTGTAGTGAGTAAATACAGACAAGCGGAGAATGTACACGACTTGTTTTTCTGTTTTCCTAGTACTTTTCTTCTTTTTTTTTCCAACTAGGTATGTCAGCCTCTCGGTTTCTCCCTACGTATGTATGTATTATTATGCGAGATAATGTTCAAAGACAACCAACACAGGACGTGTCGTCGACATGGTTTTTGGGCCCTTTCTGGGCACCGCCGAACCGGCCACTCCACCCTTTCGGAGTTGATGCCGGGAAGACTCCAATGGGATGAGCTCCTCATTCTTGCGCGGCACTTGAGATGCGGGAAAACGGTTTGAAATGTAACAAAGTACGAGGTTTCTCGGGAACGTTTCTCGTGAGGTGGTGGGGTGGTTGGTGGGTGGGTGACTTTGTCCCTCACGCAGAGTTGTACCTCTCCAGCTTCAGAACGAGGTTTGGAGAAAGGGAACAGTCGTGTCTCCCTACCGAGGACGAGGTACTGTGGGCAGAGTCAGAGGATGAGTTTTGGAGTTTGGGGGAACGAAGGCAAAAGTGGCGAAAGGACGAGGGATGGAGAGGGAGGGGAGATCAGTCAGTTGAAGTGAGTGCTTGAAAGGTTTGAATTTTGCAGCCTCGGTCTGAAGGTGGGGAGGCACTTGGGGCAATAATTCTCCAACATGATATCAATCAGGCACTCAGGGTAAATAACGGGTCACACAAACACAAGACTCTGTGGTGGAGAGTAATTCCTGATAACGAATACAAGTCCGAGAATAGACAATTTAAGTGGCAGGGAAAATTTGTCAAATTCCCCCAAAACTCGCCCCTAGATGGAGCTTTACAGGTGGATAACATGGCTCACAAGGCTTGAATTTCAGGGGGAGTAGTAGACCAGACAGGGCACAGCTGTCGTCTCAGATGCCATTTGATAGTCTCTCGGCTGACTGCCAATATCAACAGTAGACCAAAGGAGCCATAGATGACTAAAACTTATTATATGGAGGCTCGTCCAGGAAGTGGGCTGCCAGGTATGGATGGGCCTCAGACATTAGAGACTATAGCAGAAGGCCAGTAGCACTAAAGGGAGAATCACATTTCCTGTCCGAGAGACCACCTCCCAAGACAGACCTTTTCACAGGGTTCCCGGGAAGAACCTGCTCTTATTCGATTCCCTCCATCCCTTGTCGTGGGCAACAATCACTTCCACTTCCACTTGCTCCCCGCCGTCTCCCGCAGCAAATACAGGACAAGGCTTCTTCAGCAACGGTCCAATCTTTGCCAGAGTGTCTTTCGCCTGCTCCGTGTCCACATGCACAGACCTCAACCCGCCATGTCCGTCATCGTATAACGCAATATCCCTTTCGCCCGTAAGGATTCTCGGGTCATGGCAACAGTCGCCGCCCAAGTACACCCACTTGGTGTGACTGAGACGTGCGAGGACGTTGACGTGGCCGAACAAGTGTCCCGGGGAATCGACAATGTACAAGCTGCCGTCGCCAAAGAAGTCAACCGTATTGGGGAATCCCGCAAAGGGTTTCCACGTGTGTGTGGTCTGCGACTTGGCAGCTGTGGTGCTTTCCTTCGTTGTTGGTGGCAATTCGGCCGTGCGATCTTTGGGTAGGAGATCTGGATTGAAGATGTCTTTGGGGTAGTGAGGCGGCGCTCCGTTCTGCAGCAGGTGAAGTGTCCCGGACCCGACAACGAACTGAGAGTTGGGGAAATCATCCGGAGTGCCTTCATGGTCCCAGTGTACGTGAGACAACATGACTATGTCAATATCTTTTGCGGGATCAAGTCCCCCAGCTCGTAGACTATCCGCGCAATCTGGATGGAGGATGGTTGGTTGACGGTTGGAAATATGAGCTTGTTGCGCAGGCGGATATTTTGTCAGATCACGCTTGAGACCCAGATCGAAGACGAACTTGGTTACTTTCCCATCAGGCGAGGGATGCTGGATCAGAAACGACAGAGAAGGAACTGTAGCTTTCTTTTCTGGGTCCGCATCGGTGACGAACAGACGTTCTGGTAGAGTGAGCTGTCCGCCCTCGAGGGCGGATACTGTCACGTACACCTCTTGATTGGAAGAGCCCATAGTCGAGTATGTCTTTTGTCTCACAGATTGTTTGTGCGTAGGGTTACTGAGACTCTAATCGACGGCAAGGTTCCTGGCCGGTGGTTTTTGTCCATGAGGTTTGTTGCTTCCCCGCAAGATGGAGCCGACAACTGCGCAGTTTGGTGAAGGTGTTTGGAGAAACAGGCCGATGAACGGAGCAGCTCCAAGCAAAGTAGTCAGACAGGCATCAGCTTGGAATTAGAAAACTACATATCGGCGCAGAGAGTATAATTCCTACACCATACCAGAACGAGTGTCCCGGTGAGTTGACCAGTTGTCACCAAGCAGTGCAATCATCGCCTCAGTGGCTCAGCTCTCTCAACCAAAGTAACCGTACAGCCTCTCAAGATTGCATTCGGTCGCAGGTAACCGTGCCCATCAATGCTCCAATCTTCCATATTGTCCGGTTTGAGACATTGCCGGGGACAAATATGGGAGTCGTCCTCGTCGGCAGACACACCTTCTCCATAGGCGGTGCATCTGCTTACCACGGTATCACTGTTGAATACCGACAGTGACTCGCCTGAAGAACTCGAGGTCACGCTGCGCGGACTAAATGGTGGCGTCTCTGAATCATAGCCGTCTACTTGTATCGCTTGAGAATCCAGTAAAGACGGGACCCTCCGTCCATCTAGACTGGCCCAGTCACGAGAGTCCGCATCGCAGTCGTCTGATATTTCTTCATCAATGAGGTGGCAGGACGAGCCAGTGCTGACGTACATGGACGAGAATTCATCCTCAGCGACTCCCACTTCGACCTCCGCAGAGTTGTCCAAAACAATGCCAGCGCCTTCTTCAACAGGGCGAATGCAGCCACTCCTTGCAGTCTCGCGGACACTGGTAGCTTTCTCCAACGAAACCAATCTCGTAGATATAAACATCGTCCAAGTCTAGATTGTACTTGTGTTTGGCTGACTTGTGGACATTGCACTTGCGCCAGGGGATTTTGAGACGAAGGGAATCCCGAGCCATCTTTATTTCTTTCTTCAAGTGGCTACCACAGTGGCGACACAGCCTTTCAAATCTTCGCAGTGATGTCCCGGGCGTATAGAGCGATTTAGCCGCCTTGTCTCGTATATATCTCATGATGGGCAACCGGACGTGCGCAGCTCGATGAATTCTGTACAGCTGTGGGTTTGATGTTAAGGCTCGTCGACACTGAGGCAATATTGTGAAGATACCTCTTGTATGGAGCGAGCGTGAACGAAGATATGCTGAAGTATGGTAAAGTCTTTTAGATGATACAACAAATTCGATGTAAAGGATGCGGGAGATAGAAAGCATGTCAAGTTAGAACGACGCAGAAGGGATTGAGGACAAGTGGAATCGAACATGGTAGTTTCCCTTCTGGTCAGAAGTTGCTGGCTCGTACATATCTTGGTGATAGAGCAGGCACCACCTGGAGACAGCGACTGATAGACTCATCCGCTTCGCAATGATTCCTTCCTCCGCCATGCTATTGTTAACGCAGCATGCGATGTAACTCAGTTGTCAAGTGGCAGCCGTAGTATTTCTTGCCAATAGCCAAGATTCGTGGTTGATCGGAGAATCGTGATCGCGATGTTTGCATCAAGTCTCTTGTCGCTTCTGAAAGCCGCTGTTGCTATAGCGGACACTGGGAAGAAAGCGCAATCCCCAAACGGAAGCCCAGAGCACGACCTTTCCCGGTGGAATTGGTATATTTCTCCTGTTATGGTACCGAGGACGTCAATAGGCGGCCAATTCCTCAATGGTGAGGCCTGATTGTGAAGTCACAGCTTTGTAGTAATGGGCACAGAGCAACCAGCTTCCACGGATATAATATTGGTGATGTGTGAAAACTGTGCCAACATCCAATCCCATCGCACAACCCTTGGTCCGGACGCAAAGCTCTTCAGGGAAGGCCGGACATTCCCATACTCTAGCTCAAATATCTCTTTCTTCAAATTCGCCCAAAGGCGACGGCGTCAACTTTGCGCCTTTGCCGTCCCAGAAATCCTCGGGGCTCACCAGCATTACCGGTTCTTCGATTCCGCCCTGACGCAGCCGAGCTCGCGCTCGCAAGCCGCAAATTTTGATCATACCAGGCCGACGCCATAAGTTTGAGTTCGCGCTGGAGGATGATATTTTGATTTGTGAGTCGTTCTATCTCGGATTCCTCATCAAGTAGGGGGGAAGAGCTAGCTGCCACATCTTTCATGCTGGGAGGTATGGCATCTGGTTTAACTTCCTGGGACTCTTTCTCAATTTCAATCTTCTGCATGTCCTTGATCGTCTGGTCCTGCTTCTGCACATGGTCGAGTAGGAGCTTGTTCTTGGTCCTTTGTTGCTCGATCGCTAGAATCAATTTCTTTTGTGCGCGCAGAGATGATTCCCTTTCTGTGGCCGTTCCAGCTTGTGCCTGCGCCCGCATAGCAGACATAATCGCTTTCAGCTCGTCCTCCGAGATGCTCTCCTCATCTTCGAGGCCAGGAATGCTCGCCTCTGTTTCTTTTGAGAGACCAAGATCTGTATCCTTGGCCGTTGGAGAGGTTAACCCTCCATTTAGTAATGCAGCGGCAAGACGGGCCTCTGACTCGGCCAATTCTGCTTCTTCTCGCTCAAAGTCTCTATTGACCGGGTCCGGAGTGCGTTCTTCTCTTGGTGCAGGGGCGATACCTTCTTCGTAGTCACGCAATCTGCTTTGCAAGTCTTCCAAGGCATGATTTTGGCGAGACACCTGTTCGACAGCGTCGTGATAACGTGCTTCGAGAGCGTGGTAATCAAATTCAAGCCTCTTCTTCATCTCATTCAACTCGTACCGTTCCTGCTCAATACTGGGCAAGAGACGACGGTATTCATCAATCTCTCGATGCAAATCACTCGAGTTTGCTTGAGCAAAGTCTGACTGCTTGAGTTGGTTCTGCAACTCTGTCACTTTAGCCCTGAGGTTCGTGTTGTCTTTCTCCAGATCCTGGCTAGCTTCCAGTTTTTGTCGATATTTCTCTGCTGTATTTGCCTTTCGAGCGAGACGATCTCGGTCAATCTTCATCTCGTCGTAGTCATCCTGCAGCTTTTGAGCCTTCTCGGCCTTAATTTTGAGGACTTCGTTGTTCTTCCGCAACTCCTCTACCTCGGATTCAGCCTCGAGGACACGGTTCTCCAATGTCGCAATCAGGGTGTCGTGTTTGGAGTCCAGTGGCCGGGTTGAAATGTCGGACTTCCCTGCAAGAATGGCAGCCAAGCGGTCGTTCGTCTCTTTTAGATCATCCTGAGCTTGGTCGAAACGCTCTTGTAGTTTCTCATACCGGGAGTACGACTCATCAAGCTGTTTCTGTAGTTCTCGCTTCTCGTGGGCTATTCGCTGGTTATCTGCGATGACTTTTCCCAGCCTCTCTTCCGATTCAAGAACAGTTTCCATCTCTGTAGAACGACGAGGAGAGCTGAGCGGCTCTTCGGGTGCTTGATCATTCAGGTCTTCTGCACCTGGGTCGTCGTCTTCCCCTCCATCTTCTCCTGCCTCTTGTACCGTTTGCATCAAAACCTCCTGGGTTGACTCTGCCAGCTCTTGCATCTGCTTCAAGTAATCGATACGGTCGGCGCAATTGATGGCTGCCACCACGAGGAGCTTCAGGAGGGCGATGGTGTCGGTGAGCGAGGAGGATTGGGCAATAGCCTTCAGGTCAGGCCGACCACCAGGCAAAGGCAGTCGTTGCCCACATTCTTCCACGAGGAAGATGGAGAGTGCATCGTAAATGTGTTTAAGGTTGGTCCACTTGTTGATCCATTGATCGGTCTCAGGGTCTTCTGGTAGTTTACCAGGAAAGCTGAAGCGGTCGATTTGCTCTGAAAAAGATTAGAAAACTTACGCGACCGTCGAAACAACTTGAACATACGAAGAGCCTTCCATATGATGTCGCCATTGGTGAAGTCGTCTACCGTGTAGACAGGGTCCGCAACAGCGAGACTGTTGATCCAGTCGATGAGCCCGGCGGCAATGGCTTCTTCGGTCGCCATGGCAGAGGAATATGTTTATGTTGATAGCATTTCATTATTGCTCTGCTATCGAGCTGCGACAAGCCTGGAAACAGTGAATGGCCCCATGGTTTCAGGTTGAGCGATAGTGAGGACGCGAAAAGCCTTTGGGGGCGCGTGCTTCCGCCAAAGGCTGTGGAGGCACCAAAGGCACGAGGGAATCAACAATATGACGTCGACCATTGAAGTGTCCATCCCAACACGTTCACTCCATCAGTGTTAAACATTCTTCAGAGGTTACAGATCCGGCAAGACCGACATAAGAAGCATTTAAGAAGAGACGGCATGTCAATTCTGTTCAATTATGTATCGATAACATCTCTAAATGAGTGAGGGAGGCCATGTTCTATCCCGTGCGCCGATGCAGTGTCACCCAAGCAAGAAACCTGTGCCTGCGGGAGTCGTGCCCATGATATTCACAATTTCGTTTCCTCCATTTCATAATACTATATCCATTCGTGATCGAAGACACTGTCGTATGCACGTCAATCCCCGGAAATTCCTCCTTCCTTCGGCTTCCTATTGAGCGGCATTTGTCGAGCCGTCAATGCTGACCACATAGTCGTCCTCAATATATGGCGAATATGCTTGGGCCATTTCGCTGATTTTGTTGAGAGTGACTTCTGAAACTTTAGCAGCGAATCCTTTGATCAAGGCTATCACAGAGTTAGTGATGATCCCAGCGTAGATATGGGCGGTGAAATGGAGGAGAGCTCACAATATTCATGAGTTATGATACCACCATCTTTTTCAATCTCAGCGATTGCCTTGTCTATGACTGAAGACGGAGTGTCGTCTGGGAATGATATCACAACGGGTTTCTGCGGAGGAGGCAGGGCGAAGACCGCAACGAAGAAGGCAAACAGGAAGATGAGCGGTAGGCGCATTTTGATGCTTCGAGAGTGTGTTCGCAAGAGTCGAAAGTCGGGGAAGCCGGAGCAGGTATCTTTCACAATTGGATCAGAGAGTTGATGAGACAGCAATAAGTAGACGGGATTTTTGCAAGTGGGAGATTCGAATGGCAGGGGAGACTGTATTAGACGACTGCGGATTTGACGCAATTGTTCTCCTGTGACTGCGCTTGGATGGTCCCTTTCCCTGCCAGATCCGGAGCCAGCCCGCCACACCCGACAGTTTGACGCAGGCGGCAATTCGGCTTCCACTTCTCATTTGCTGGTATCTGCTTCCAAACTTCTTCCTCTTGGTTCTCTCTTCTTGCTCGTCTCACCACTTCGTCCCTCTGGTTCCATCATCGTCGCGCCTGTCCTATAACTCGTCCTCTCCACCTTGATAATGTGGTCGATCCAGTATTGAGACAGTACATCTGCAGTTTCGGAGTGTCCGGTCGATGGTCAACGAGCGACTCACACCAGCCTTCGCCTTCTCCTCCGCGGCCCATTCATTTCTCAACTCGAGTCTCGATTGCCTACCCATACTGGTCTTGTGCCTATACTTCATCTGCTTTGTCACAGCAAATTATGAGTGGAAGACCCTGAAGGTTTATCTGGAGTGAATCGCCGTCGAATCTGGGTGCTGGAGAATTGGACTGAAGCCGCAAGGAGGGATCAAAATAAACATACCGGGTGTCACTTTGAATGGTTGTAGATAGCCAAAAGATACCACGACACGTTTTCCTTTTGTTGTCTACCTTGCTCAGGCGCGCCCGTGTCTGACGACTCCAGTCGCTGCTTGACATCAAAAGAGTCATTGCTTGCCTCGCCGCATGCCCATTTGACTCCTCCAAAGCTCGAGTCCGTCCTGGGTCCCGATTTGGACTTCGTCTACCTTTCAATCTTTCTTACTCTCCATTTGCGATTCCCATCTCCTTCTATCGTCATGTCCGGACTACCGTCAGATGAGGTCGCAGAAGACTATAAGAACTCTTTGG